TGTGTGGAGAACATTAGAAAATCACCTTTTAGTTATTTTTAGCTACTAGTGCTTTATTATTGAGTATAGTCAGCTTCAGGTGTGAAAACAACCAGAATTTGTTAATCTTAACAACTATTTAAATTCAATTTTAAACCTATTGACCAACCAATATCTTTCTTTATCCATCAACTCATTCGCCACAGAGATCATCTTCATGAGTTTAATTATTATACATCAATTATTATTGTGTTTATCTAAAAATTCAAACCTAACAAGCACAGATGCATAGGATCCAAATGGAGACTGTTATTTATGCTAAACACATTAAAAACTCCTTGGGGCTGGCACAATGCCTGTTGGTACGTGAAATTTATGTTCTCAGATTCCCTAATATTATAGTATGAGGAGCACACGAATGACTAAATATTGAAGTTATGTAGTATTGTTTGCTTGTGTTTATGAAATGAAATTGCAGAAGATCCTCCCAGTTATAAATCCTCCCTAATTATAAAAACTTTGGCCATAACACTTGGCCTAAGAGACAAATTGTATAAGACTTAAACATTTTCAAGTTAAATTTCCTGAGAAGGTATACTCTGAGTTTGTTGAATTGGCTACTGTCAAGTATCCTCAAATATTCTCCAGTTCCCTACTGCCACTCACCTTTTTCTTTATCTTCTCCTAAGCTCACCTCCTTGCCCTTCCCTTCTTACCTGTCTATATGCACTTCCTTCAACATGTATTTTTCCCTCTATTTTAATGGGCTCCAAATTGTGCATTTAATCACCCATAGATTCAGACTGGTTCCCATTACCTGTGATCGGACACTTTGCTCACCCTTGATGCAGCAGGGAAGGGCTTGGTCCTGCCTCAACTGAATGTACCGGGCTTAGCTGTCTCCTCATGGGAGAACTTACATTTTTGGAGGAGGGGGATGAAGGATGGAGGTGGGGAGGAGCAGGAGGAGGGATGACAGGGGGATCTGTGGTTGGTATGCAAAATCAATAAAAAAAAATTAAAAAGAACCTCTGTACAGTACATTTACTGTATACATCCAGAATCTTTATTCTTATCAACATTCTCTAAAAGCTAAAGCATACCAATTATTTACATATCATTTGTCATGCATTAGTTATTTAAAGCGACCACAGATGGATCACTGTAAATGAAAGGAAGTGCATGGAATCTTTGTAAACATCATACCCCTGATTTAAAAGCCCAAACATCAATGCATATTAATATGTGACAAAATTCCTGAATCCAAGTTAAGGAGAGACTGCATACACAGTGTCTTCCAGAAGTGAGCCACTCTCTCAGACCTTAGCTTGGAAATCACACCAAAACAAAAATGTTTCATACTCTTCAGATATTCCTATTATTAAATGATAATCATATACAAATAGTTGGACATAAGTAAACATAACACAAGTTTTTTTTTTTTTTAAGAGGTATGGAAAAGGAACTGGGTAATTTCAGCTAAAGTGTTCAGTGTTTTTTCCTTTTGGGCTGGGTAAGGTTGAGGATAAAATTCAGGGTCTTTTGTTTGCTGGTCAAATGCTCTACCACTGAGCTAATTTCCCACCTCACCCCCACCCCCTAGAGTGTCCTTTTTTAACAGAACAAATTTAGAATAGCTATAGAAATCTCTTCCACTTAACATGTCCAATGTCTGCAGCACATGGAAGGATTATCGGCGAGGGTGGGGCGTGCAGGTATCTTTGACAATAATGGCATTTTCTAAAGTAACAGTTATCTCCTCTAAATGCCCTACCTTTCTGGTCTTGTAGGCTTTGATAGAAGCCCTAATGCAATAGAAACACCCTAGAGGAGCTTAGCCAGGAAAGCCAACTAGGTGTTCCTTCCTACTCACTGAACAGTTTCCCACTTGCAAACTTCTCAGGCTCCAAACCACTAGGATATCATGTTTTATTGGTAGATTTTCAAGCTGAAGGTCATTAAATAATCCCTGTTGATCTGCTAGGATTTGAGGAAGTAACCTGATTCCACCCATCTATTTTAGCATGATGTCTATGAATGCCACATGCTCTCTTCTCAAGAGATTCATTTTTAATGGTCTGGGCGTCTGGTATTCTTTCTCCTAAGCAAAGGGATGATGTGCTTCTGTTTTCGTTTTCTTTTCACTTTAGTAAAGCAGGAATTAATTATTAATTGTCTTTCTGTATTATGGCCATTTAATTTTTCACATTGTGTGCTTCTAAAGCTTCCAAAATAAATATTTAAAGTTATTTCTTGTTTAAAGACTTCTAACATTGCAATTATCAATTATTTGATTTTGAAATTCATACTCTAACATAATTAGCAATTTCTTCCAGCCAAGCATTTAATAAATTGCTGTCTTAATGAGTTTTTTATTTGTCTATACAAGTCTATGCATTGCTGAACATAGACTTATTACCTCCTTGTCATTTATATGTCATCAAATGAAAACTGGTTATAATCTGAGCTTAATTTAATCTAAGTCAGAGTTTGAACACAATGCTCTGTGTTTGAATTGTCTTACCCATTTCTTCTACCTTCTCTTCAAGACCTGAAATTATCTCTCCCACTTCATTCAATCTGTTGGAAAGACTTCCACTGAACTTTTTTGTTTTTTTCTTGAGCTTTTTATGTCAACTTTTATTTCAATTTGCCTTTTTTTTAGTTTTTCAATTCTTTTTTTTTTTTTTTTTTTTTTTTTGGTTTTTCGAGACAGGGTTTCTCTGTGTAGCTTTGCGCCTTTCCTGGAACTCACTTGGTAGCCCAGGCTGGCCTCGAACTCACAGAGATCCACCTGCCTCTGCCTCCCGAGTGCTGGGATTAAAGGCGTGAGCCACCACCGCCCGGCTTAGTTTTTCAATTCTTAATCAAATTATATTTTAATATCTTAAATTGTTTTTCTCATTCCATTCAACTCTTTGTTTTTTACAAAGTCTTCATTGAAGTACTTATGCACAACCTCTTTGAAATCATTGACCTTAATCATGATTTCTATTTTGAAGTCCTTGTCTTATGCTTCAGTTAAATTAGTTTTCTAGAAAATATTAAAACAGGAGTCCTGGTTTCTGGAGAAGGCATATTATGTTGTTTGTTGTTTTTTGTGCTTGTATATTTGTATTTAGAGTTAAATATTTTTTCTGTTTGTTGGTGTTCTATGGGTTTTCAGTTCCTTGAGCGCTATTCCTCAGTCTGAAAGGTTGTATATCAGTAGAATGGTGCTTAGCTTGCAGTCTTGGGGTCACTTTTGAATTTTCGTGTTTAGATTCCAACTGGTCACAGATCTGAAGTGCTGGTTGGAATTCTGAGTTCATATTCCAAGCATTCCCAGATCAGTTCAGTGTGTGGTGGTGGTTATAAGCTATCCACTACGGTAACTGGACTGATTTTTGAGGTTTCTTTTTTTTTAAATTATAACTGCTTGGCCATTAGCTCAGGCTTATTACTGACTAGCTCTTACACTTAATTTAACCCATAATTCTTATCTATGTTTAGCCACATGGCTTGGTACCTTTTCTCAGTTCTCTTAAGTACTGTTTGGGATCCAGTTTTGTGCCACAAGGGTAGAAAAAGGCCTACCACAGGTGGCAGTGAATCTCAAGGGAGTAGGATGATATTGAGAAGGGGCTGAAGTGGACAGCAGAGAAAGGATTATTGTACCCTAGGGGGACTAGGATGGAGGAAGGGAAGGAAGACACAGGTAATTTACATTGGTCTCCACCTAATGTACCTGGGAGGACCCTAGAGGAATGTTCACCTCATTGTGAGGGTAGTCACAAAGGAAGGGTTAGAATGGCTGAGGAAAGTTGGAGATGAAGAACTAAGGGAACTCTGTGTATGTACCAGGAGTAATGGCAGCCGAATACCAAAGGGATGTGTTCCGTTGGGAGGATGAAGTGAGGAACTGGTGGTGGTGGGAATAATAATTAGAGAGATCAGAATGGAGCAGTGGAAAGAGTACAGGTAGCCTACCTGGGTCCTCACCAAGGGTGGTAACTGTCACTGATGTAAAACTCTTAACAATACTATAATATTGATCATAGTTTCATTAAGCAGGGAAGATAAGGTAAACTAGCTATATTCATTGTTTATCTGTAGCTTAAATATAATACAATGCTAACCAATTGGAGAATTATTCTGTGCATTATTTCTCATGCATATTTTTATTTAATTATTTAAAAATATCCATATTTAGAAATTAATCAAACCAACATAATAACCATGTCCACATATTATCATCATATATTTCACCAATCTTCTACTGCAGAACAAAACAAGTTGTAATAAGTGATCATGAAGATGTGGTTGAAGGACTATTTGTAAGCAAGAGTGAAAGATGAAAGGGGTTTTGAGCTCAGAAGTTTGAAATGAATAGAACGTCCAGAAATCCTATGATGGTTTGATGTGTTAGGAAGAAACTGTCAGCAGCTTCAATAATTTTCCAATGTAAATAAATAAAAACAAATTGCATTCATTTTTACAGTGTATTATTTTCAGTAATTACATCTAAACTATGTTCAACCCATTTTATAAGATACCTTATAGATGTTTTAGTACACTTTTAGTATATTCAGTTGAGAGTTTGAATAATATATTTTAGCATAAAAAGTCATTAATGAGATCATATAAGTGACTTGTCCCAAGACAGTCCTACGTATTATACATTTTCTATTGTACATTCTGTGTGACTCAAATTCATATCCTCCAGCTTCTGTCTCTCAATTAGCCCTTTTACTTGTACATATTCTCTAGACAGTTGAAGACTGAAACCAAATATTTTGAATGCATGAAATTTTTAAAAAATATATTTTAGAAGAATATATTGATTGGAATTAAACTACTATTGCTTTATACAAGTAATTTTTTCAAACATCATATCACTTTGCAATACTTGTTAAAGTAGAATTTAATAGTTATTCAAAAATATAAATTTACAGATATTCATTAATGTTAACATGTTTTCTTAAATATTTGTTTAGCAGAAATTATTATTTTTTTCTTACAATTGTATTTCCCTCTTTCAGGTAACTCAAACTTCAACTATTCATGATGTCAAACAAAAGTTTCACAAAGCATGTGAGTTTTATTTATCTATTAAAATTTATGTCAACTTATTTTCAGATTGACACAAATTTGTCTATGAGAACAGGTTTGTCTATAGAGCAAACACATGAAAGCTATGTTTTGAAACAGATATCATTAATAATTTTAAACTGAATAATTCTTGAATATAATAATTCTCACACTTGATACTGTTATTGATGCTTTCGTATTCAACAGCTTTTTGTCAGTACTGAGAATGGATCTTCATGCCATATGTTCAGAAGCCATGTGCACAGCTACTGAATTCTATCTCAAGAACAATCCAACTTGAGGTTTAATATAATGCCTTACAGTTTAATATATGTCATTATATTTCTTTTCTTGTATTCATTTTAAGATGTATTTTTGTCATTATTTGTATTCAGGAGAGCCATGTGAATTGGGAAAAAAATTGAATTCATAAGTTAGTATGTTGAGCTATTGAATAAAATTTGAAGATAAAAACCAACAGAATAAATAAATTATTTCTTTTAGGAGAAATAGAACATATTGATATATTGGTTTATAGATAACTATTTTATGACATGACTAGTTCAGTGACAATGTAAGTAGTAACATCATTTATAGAAAAAGACCCACATAGAAGATTCAATGTACATCTTAAGGAACAAAATAATAAAACAAGGAATTACAATTAGTTAATATAGATAAAATATACAAACATTTTAGAGTAATTTTCTTATAATGTGCTGTTGAAAAGCATATAAAAATGAGGAATATACTTATTTGAAAACTGCTTACCATTTAAAGTGCTTTGGGAAGGCAAGTTCTGACATTTTGCCTTATAGACATGTAGAGTTTGGATATGCTGAAAGGATTGAATAGGTCATTCCACCAAGATCCAAGAAAAAACAAAGTGAGGGATGTTCACATAGCTTCCCTAGATTCACTTTTCTAGCACTAACTTGGGAGTGAAAGTCTCTGTCATTGTGTGCCAATGTTTTATAAAATACGGAATTTCTTAAGTATTAAGTTTTTAAACCACAGAATTCTTTTTCAAACAGATGTGGTGGTACATGTCTTTACACCCTGCCTGCAATGCTCAGGAACATGTGGCTCTTAAGTTCCAAGCCCCAGTTAGCAAAAGAGTGAAAAGCTAGGGAAAAATTCATTTTTATCTAATTACATAATCTATGTACGTAATTACCATAGTTATGCACACAGTATTCCCTACTTATTTCTACTCTATGCACATTTATTTAGAGGTAGTACAATATTAGCAGAAAGCACATATTGCATTAAACCAGTAATTGGAATGTTAAACTTTAAAATGTCAGAAGTTCAGACAGAGGGAAGTGTAGCAATTAAGGGAGAAGACATTTGAAAGTGATTTAAAAAATAAGGACAATTTGTACAAAATTTGAGAAATACTCCATTGGCAAAAGTGTGATCACATTTAACAGCTGTAATAAGACTTGAGACTTATTAACCAGTTAATTAATTCTTCACAGTCCTATTTCTAATATTTAGCAGGCTTTTTAAAGAATAAAAACACCTTTATTTAAATGATGCTTCTTTCTTTTAAAGATAGAATTTATATTCTAGCATTTTTTTTTTGTATTTTGTACTATAACTTTAGGGCTTACAAACCTCATTTTCTGATACTAAATTAACTTCTCATCATGTCCTCACGCTTTAAAGTATAAAATTCAAATTATTAATGTCATAAATGAGTAAATGAATAAAAAAAAGTATTCCTCACAAGAGACTGTTTCTTACTAGAAAAATTCTTATGTAACTTAATTCATTCCCAGGCTTACTGTTCAACAGCTTTTCATTATGATATCTCTATACACTCATATAGTGTACTTTAGCAATAATCATTTCTCTACTAGTATTTATTTCACTCCTTCTTTCCCAGCTGATAGAGTCTCTTGTGGGATATTTGTTTATACTGTGTGAGGATGTGACACTGTTACTGGTTTAATTAGAAGCTGAACGGCCTAGAGCTAGGCAGGGTGGGTACAGGGGACTAGAGCTAGGCAGGGTAGGTACGGGGGACTAGAGCTAGGCAGGATAGGTACGGGGGCCTAGAGCTAGGCAGGGTGGGTACGGGGGCCTAGAGCTAGGCAGGGTGGGTACGGGGGACTCCTGGAGAAAAAGAGAACTCAAAGGTGAGAATCTAGATGCATGAGAGATGCCAGCGAGATATAGAGAGTTGGACATATAGAATGGAAGATAGGTAAATATCCATGTGGCAGAACACAGATTAATAGAAATGTGATAATTTAAGATATAAGTGCTAGCTGGGAACAAGCCTAAGTTAAAGGCCAACTTTCATAATAAGTCTCCATGTCATTATTTGGAAGCTGGTGGTCCAAAGAAACTCAGACTACAGTTACTCCTCTAGTTTTCTCTCCCCCACCACACACAGACACATACTTTATGAGACACACGAGCACATACTAGACAGCACACAGGACATTTGTGTTTGTGGGGTTGACTTACTTCACGAATATACTGATCCTTAATTCTATTCGTTTTTCTATAAATGTCATATTATCTTTGTCAAACAAGTTTTCACTGTGTACATACCACATTTTCTTCATTGCTGTTATGGTCAATGGGAACCCATAGTAATTTAATTACCTGGTTATTGTGAATAATGTCACAATAAATTTGAGTATACAGGTTATCCCTTGACTCTTTGGAGGAAGTACACATAGATGGTGTAGCTGGATGTAGCTAGAGTTTTCCTGCCTGGCCCACAGTCAGGACAAATCTCTATCACCCGCCAGTCCCACAGTCACTCAGACCTGACCAAGTAAACACAGAGACTTATATTGGTTACAAACTGTATGGCCATGGCAGGCTTCTTGCTAACTGTTCTTACAGCTTAAATTAATCCATTTCCATTAATCTATACCTTACCACATGGCTCATGGCTTACCAGCATCTTCACATGCTGTTTGTCATCGTGGCGGCTGGCAGTGTCTCTCTATCTCAGCCTTCCACTTGCCAGCTTTATTCTCCTCCTTGTCCCGCCTATACTTCCTGCCTAGCCAATGGCCAATCAGTGTTTTATTTATTGACCAATCAGCAACACATTTGCCATACAGAACATCCCACAGCAACTGGATGTTATGAATGCTGCTTTCTCTCTTTCTCATATATATATATATATATATATATATATATATATATATATATATATATATATATATATATATATATATATAAAATCTGGGCTGGAGAGATGGCTCAGCCGTTAAAGGCTAGGCTCACAACCAAAAAAAAACTGCTTTATAAAATCTTTCACACTACTTTTCATGCCTGTACCATGTTATAATGCAACCAATGGAACATAAATAGGACATAGAGGTTTTTTTTTCCTTCTTATATAATGGCAGCATTTTATTTTCTTTTCTTTTTTATTTTTATTTTTTTGTTTTGTTTTGTTTTTTTGAGATAGGGTTTCTCTGTGTAGCTTTGTGCCTTTCCTGGATCTTGCTCTGTAGACCAGGCTGGCCTCGAACTCACAAAGATCTACGTGGCTGTGCCTCCCAAGGGCTGGGATTAAAGGCGTGCGCCACCACTGCCCAGCTGCATTTTGTTTTCTTAGTGAACTTAATTTTGGTCAGAATGAGAATGAACATCAGTATAATTTTTGATTTGCATTTCTTTGATGGTGATTGATGATGTTTAGGTAATTGATTAGCTCTACCTGCCTAATTTTAAGATTTTGTACTTTCTTTCTGGTTTTGTACTTTTTTTTGTCTCTATGGGCTCTCCAGTTTCAAGGTATAATATTTATCATGACTCAAAATAATTAAAAATAAAATCTATATTGTTCTCTACATTTTCTGCTAAGCTAGCATCTTGGTATATTATATGCAAAATTGGTATATTGTAGCAAGCTCTGTTTAGCATGCTCAACTTTAAGCTTATTGATAATCTTTCACTTAATCCCTACTTACTTCATTAGGAATTAAATTCAACTAGTCACTCGATACTGTGGATCATAAGGAACAATTATCTCTCATATTCTATGTCAAATTTACAGGGTATTTATGAATTTTGAGTCTTTTGCTTGCCATGATTCTGTTCATTGCTTCACACGTGACAAGTACAGTTCCATATTTTATAAGGGATACATGTATTTTCTCACTTCCATGTCTATTCTTATATACTGTTCATTTTCTTTTCTTTCCAGCAACATCTTCATGTTGTGTGTGTGTGTATATGTGTGTATGTGTGTGTGTGTGTGTGTGTGTGTGTGTGTGTGTGTGTGTGTTACAAATGGCCCAATGCTATTCTCATAATCTGTGTTTTTATTCTACTTTTACAGTAACATGTAGCTATCAATGTTTTGCAAATGCTCTTTACATTATTTGACTCTCAACAAATGTCTCTATCCACATTCCTCACACATATATTTCAGTTTCTGAAAAGAAATAATTATACATTATTCATCCCTACTTTTCACATGCTTAGGCCATGCGTATTCAAAAACACAAGTTTAATATATAAAGACTCGTGCTTTACAAACAAATTACTGAAACAAATTATATGGCTCCTGGAGATCATGCTGTCATTTGTCCTTGACATAAGCAACCCAGAAAACAGAAGCTGCTTTTTGCCCTGATACTTACGTCTGTGCATAAACATGTAGGCGGACTCGATGATGGGTTTGTGCATGTGGGAGAACTGACATGCGTGAGCTCTCTAAGATAATGAAATACACACTATGTCAATGTAATTCATGAATGCTTTTCATATAGTCAATTGCTTTAGATTTTCACTCTGAAAGTCTGCATGTCTTTTGAATGCTCAAAGATAAAAATGGTAACATTATGCATATTAACATTTATGATGTGGAGATGTCTTTCTAAAATTAAGAGACAAAACACTGAAACATTTGTGTTTCTCTTTATCAACTAGACATTTGCTTTTCTAAAGCAGAGATACTCAGATGCTGGCCTTATGTTTCTCAGCTGTTTATGGCATTCCATCACCATATAATAATAATCATG